CTCCTCCACCGACATTCTCGTCGGTGGCATCATTCTCCCCATTGATTTATCTTTCGACGATACGTCGTGGGCAAATCATTAGATAGAAGAAGAGGCGAGGGGAAAGAGAACTGGGAGTCGGCCCAACCACCCATTTGATTTAACGGGTTATAGATATATAGCAATGTCGAATCTGTTGAAAATTGAAGCGAGATAAATATCCCTCTCTTGAATTATATTCAAGAGGAGGGATCTCCCGAAGCTAATAAGTGTATTTTTAACGTGTGCAAATATATATTTATAGCTGACCCTTCGCTATGAGAGAACAGAAAACCGGGTGCGCGCCGGGTGCGTTCGAATTGTCGGCGATCCGCGCCATTTTCTTAGTCACACAAGTTGAGAAAATTTGTCGATCCCTATAATCGTCGCTTGTTCTTCATTTGTGTTAAACGGAGTCGTGAATGCGAAGCTACGATCGAGGCGAACGAGTTTAAATCAAGCAAGGTTATCGCGCGACGAATGCGTGTTGTCTACGCAGCTACGAATATAATATATCGCGCGAGAGAGAGAGAGATAAAATGTTTTTAAAATTATGTATCGCCTGGCCTCATCGAGAATTCTCACTCGCCCGTGAATATCGTGAATTATCGGCGGGATCGTGGCTTCGCTCATTGTTTTAACACGCTTTTAAACCTATTTATTAGAGAGATCCTAATAAATCATTTTAACGGTTGGTTAAGTTCTCCACGTATACTTTGTGGACACTTTGTTGGACACGATAAATAATTAAATAATTTGCAATTTTTTCGACGAAACGAAAGGATTAAAAAATATTTTAAAAAAAAAAAAAGCTTCGAAAATATATAATTTCTCTTCGACTACCCTTTCAGGGTAGGAGATAGTGGATAGAGGGACGGTTTATCAGAGCGGGCGCGTGACAGACGTGTGGCAGTCGCGACGGCTCAAAACCCGGACGAGCCTTATGGGATATATTTAGTCGAATGAACGGGCGGTGGGTTTCGCGTAAGTGGCGTGCAAGAAACTCGAATGCAAAAGTGTCTGGATTAATGGGACGTTATTCCGGGGAATAAACGATACGTTCTAGCTCTAATGAAATAAGAGGATAGGGAGCGGGCCAGCGATATTTATCCATTACTAATGTTGGCAACGAGCACGAGGTGTGTCGAGCACGATTCCGTTTTAATAGATTTGTTCAGAGTTTAGAAAATATCATCCCGAAAACGTATCGTGGACGAGAATATTTCCTGACATCCGGAAATATTGACAGTTCGATCGTTCGTATATTTGTGGAGCAAGCATTCGACGGTAGAGAAGGAGGAGGGAGGAATTTCGAAAACGAGAGAAATTTTACTCCAACTTCGACTTCGACTTCGGATCAAATCGTCGAAGATTTGAATGTAAAGAAATATTTAGAGCTTAATTATACGTTGTTGTAATAAAAAGCTTAGATTAGAGTGAAAAAAAAAAAAAAAAAGTGTTGGGATACTTGTGTGATAAAGGTATATTGTGTTGGAATATACCAAGATATTTAAATATCAAAATTAATATAATAACGTTAATATCGGACAAATGACGTTTGCACTTGAGAGAGAGAGAGAGAGAGAGAGAGAGAGAGAGAGAGAGAGAGAGAGAGAGAGAGAGAGA